CCTCGAGAACGAGCTCTAGATCTAGGGAACACGGGTGGAGATAGGACGAGCCGTCTCCAACCCGTCCACCAGATCATGTGCGATTCCAACGAACTCAGTGGCCGCCGTGCCTCAGCAGCAGCGGGACTCCAATCACAAGATCACAGGCACGGACACACTCCTCGGAGTGTGCCCGGCGAGAGCGGAGCGCTGCACAGCGGGCTTCTTTTTTTATTTTTCTTCTTTTTTCTCTCGAGAGCCGACTGCGCGAGCTCCGCTCCCCATTGATGCTGTTGATTATAATATCAGGCATAATATGCTTGTGTAACTGGTGTTTGTGCAACTGGCGAGCTCTCTGACGCCCTCTGTATCAATCTCCTCGGAGAAAGACAGGCGGAGCATCGCGCCCCCTCCCCGGGGGGGAAGTACCGCAGCGCGGGCTTCCGAAACCCCGAGAGCGGGCGCTGGATCTGGTGGTTAAGGAAGTAGATAGGGACGCGCCCGTCTACATTCCCTCCACCGGATCCATACGCGAAACCCACGAGCACAGCCGCCGCTCCGCCTCGGCGAAAGCCGGCACCGAGAGAAACGCTAGTGAAAGCTCTCTCCTCAAAGAGAGTCCCCTGAGAGCAAAGCAAGGCAGTAACAAACGCTACCAAAATGGCCGTCAGCTCCCCTTTTTTTCCGAGAGCTGACTCTGCGTGCTTGCTCTCAAGCAGACAACAAACAAACTGTGTGTATCCCCACCCGTAAAGTAACGCGGGCAGGGAAGAACACACAGCCTGAACGCTGCCTGCCCTCGCCTTAGTGTCTGGTTTTGTCTTGCTTTAGATTTCGTGACAGACAACACTAAATAAGACTCACAAACAGATATCAGACTGACACACACACAGAGCGCTTGCTGAATGACAAAAGCTGACGCTGGTCTCACCGCACGTGCTTTTATAGCTTCCTGGTTATTCCGCCCCCCGCCGTGACGTCTCGCCCATCTATTGGTCTGATTACACACGAGGTTCAGAGCCCGTCACGCTGAAGGGCGTGCCCCTAGCGTTTCCGACGCAGCTCGAGTTCCTGAAGAGGAACTGTCACTCTTAGTTCATTGTGATCTCACAAAGTTCTGTTATGCCCAATGAATCTCACACTGTGCAATTAATATTATTAACATCGTTGTGTAAACACTCTGTATGTTATAATGAAAGGATTCGATTGTGATCAGCACAGAACAAAAACTGGATAGTCTCCACTATCCAATGGAGCCGTACAGTAGCTGTTTTGCGGTCACGCATTGTCTATTGTGAAAGTACTGACGTAATCATATAGCTGTCATCATCCCGATTTCAATCCTAAATATCAAACATGTTTGATATGATCGGAGCGGCCCCGATTTGTGCGCGAGCAGATCGGGAGGTGCAAGATTCGATCTGTGAATGCCTCACATTACCAGATAATCCGTGCCGAACATCGGGAGCGATCGAGGGGCTTGACAAGATTTTTGCTCCGATTCTCGGGAGGGGGAAATCGGGGCTAAATCGGGCTAAAAATCCTGTAGTGTGAGCCAAGCTTTAGTGTGCCATTAGGAAATGCCAGCTTAATAGTCTAGGCACATAATGATCAGGTGGAGTTTGGGGGCTAAGGGCTAAGGGCTAAGGGCTAGCGTGCGTGTCCATAAATATGTAACGTCAAAACATATACATGTGCTTAAATGCATCACACATCATGGTTGATGACTACCTCAAGTCTAATGTGGCATCAATGGTCACAAACACAAGTCAATGTAAAAGCCTTAGTTCAGCAATTCCTCTTAATACTTTTATGTATAGTCTAAACATGTTCAATTTACAAGAGACAAGGATGGATTGCCCAAGTCTAAAGGCCTGTTCACACCAAGAACAATATCTATAAAGACAACTATAACAATAAATATATTAACAACCCCAACAACACATGGCAACATTCAGTGTATTATGCATGCACTCTGCAGTTTTGTCGTCTGCTGCTTTAAGTGCTTCAGCTATTTAAAGCAGGATGGATTCTGGTTGTTTTTACTGTTCATCAGCTATAAAAAAAATAGTTTAAAAAATGGTGTGGACTCTGCTATTCTTTTTCATTTAGAATGATTTTTAAAACTGAGGAAATATAATATTTTTTATTAAAAATAGTTAATATATTTATTAAATAATCCAATTCATTTTCCTAATATTTAATATCAGTACATAAAGGCTAAATTACATTAATTTAGAGTGATTTTATAAAATAAATAAATAAACAAATAATGATTTATTTATTTTTTGTTTTATTAGAAACACCTAAATTACCTAATTTTATTATTTTGAATGTTGACATGAGCTTTTCCACCATCTACTTGCTGTGACTCTGTAGACTGCCCAGAAATGGGGGTGGACAAGGGGTTGAGAGTGTGTGTTACTGGAAAAACAAGCTGACCATAAACACACACACACACACACACACACACACAGATCACTTCACAGTCGACTATTGCCCATGATTGACCTCTCTCTCATACACACAAAATGGACAAGAACACACAATGAAAAACAGCAGCAGCTGGTGTACATGACACACAATCCTGGAACAGACCCGTAGAGCTGGTGCTCTTTTTCAGGAAAATAATGTTAATGTGGGTATATTTCATGTTGTTTTCTCAGTCTACTGTTGTGCAATCCATGCTCAAGTTCAATCGTTCTTCTAGTTAATATCACACTGTGCTTTTCGGTAATCTAAATCATCTATATACAAAGGGAAACTGCACTCCTCCAAGATGCATTTTGTGTATCTCAACTTACGTGACACCAGGAGTCGCCTGGTGATTGATGTACGCTGCTCCACTAATTTTTGTTTGTCTTATCAAGTGCTTATGTTTCTCATTACACATCTTACATTTCAACTGGGTACATAATCCAACAAATGGCCTCAGTTGAAATCTGACATGCCATCAAAGTGGAATCCAACAGCAACAGAGTATTTACAGCATTGGCAACCTATGGCTCCATTCCTGGGTTTGTGGATAACAGCGGGACACCTCAATAATGGCATTTGCAGTATGTGTTTTTGGAGAGGAGTGTGTGGTGGGAGAGAATGTGATGCTATAGACGGCTGTGGGAAGAGAGAGGGGGTGAGCTTGGCTTAGGTGCTGCAGGGACAGAGAATAGGATTGGCCCCCGTACAGATCTTGTACATTGAGGCATCAAAGAGCTTGCAGCACTGCTTCCCACGATAGACACCACGTACCCTGTCAAACACATCCCTCCCCCCGACAGGATAACGAATAAGTCACCATGTCTGCACTCATTCTTTCTTGTTTAATGAAATTCCAAACTAGTCCTACTCTTCTGCTAGGAAAAAGGTGGTTGTGCATGTAGCTTGTGAAGGCTTGTCTTAGGGTGATGGGAGAAAATGATACAGTCTAACTATTTCGATTTACAGTTTTTGACCAACCCACCAGCAAGGTCTCAAACTGCCTGATAAATTAAACATCATGCAATTGCTAATTAGTGTGGCGCTGCTGACCTCATATTTCAGGTCAGGTCCACCCCATCACACTTACATCACTGTGCCAAAGAATATATCTTTATAGCCACACATTAAACATTAAATATAACAGGGAAACATTTAATTAATTAATATTAAAAATACTTAATAAATTATTTACAATAAAATTTAGTTAAATTACTTATTACCAATTAATAAAGTAATTAATTTGTATATTTTTAACAAATTTATTTATTAACAAACTATATTTACTGACACAAAAAATGAGAACATCAATTTAATAATTAATTTATTAAAAAAGCTAAATAAATGTTTAATTAAGCCTATATTTAACAATTAAATTGCCTATAAAAATTACATATATTACATATAAAATTACGCATAATGCATTACAATTAACATAAAATATATATTTTATAGAGGTGTAACGGTACACAAATATGACAGTTCGGTACGTACCTCAGTTTTAACGTCACGGTTCGGTATGATTTCGGTACAGCAGGGGGAAAAACTAAACTTTTTTTTTTTTTGAACAAGTTGCTCTTTCTTTAAATAAATTCAGCTTTAGTTTAAATTTTCTTAGTGATAAAAATCTACCTCAGCTTATGCTTAAAACTATAGGGAGACCTTTTACATTATAAGGTTATAATTAGGCCTAACAACTTAACCCAAACTTAAATTTAATTGCTATTTATTTTTTACATAGATGATCAACACTCAACTTAAAAAAAAAAGAAAAAAAAAGAATAGTATGCAAACATGTCAATTGCATATAATGCAGTTTTTAAATGAACTTATAAATAATAACTTAAAACTATAGGGAGACCTTTTACATTATAAGGTTATAATTAGGCCTAACAACTTAACCCAAACTTAAATTTAATTGCTATTTATTTTTTACATAGATGATCAACACTCAACTTAAAAAAAAAAGAAAAAAAAAGAATAGTATGCAAACATGTCAATTGCATATAATGCAGTTTTTAAATGAACTTATAAATAATAAAATTTCTAAGCTATTTGTTAAAATATATTAAATTACACAATGGCTGTCATAGCATGTTTCATAACAGATTAATTTAAACATACTGTACATTAAGTAATTAAGACTAACAGGTTTAGTAAAATTATAATGAGTATATGGTGTAATATTTCGCAAAATGCTCCTCTCTAGACTTAATTTCTCTAGTGAACTAACGAGCTGTGGACACTGATGGCTTGCTGAGGTAAATTAAATACTACGTGACATTTTATTTCCACGCTGTATTGTTGATGTCTTTTCGCGGTTGAAACACTGATTGAGCAATTACATGAGGCATGAGATGTTCAGCCATGTTTATTCGCGTTAAAACTAGTAGTACAGAAGGAGGAATTATCGCTTTCACTTGCGCTCCGCTCTGCAGAAATCTGCGGTGCGTCACGGCTCAGACACCGGAACCGGAGCTGATCGTGGCCGCTCTAGTCAGTGCTTGTGTTGGGATTATACCAGCACGTTTCTGAACC